TTTACACCTGGAAGACAAGTGATGGTAAGCTGCAGTTTACAACATATACTGTTGTCTTTAATGAAGTACCTGCTGTCATCTTTGGGCAGCAGTGGGATGATGGAGGCAACTCCACCAGTACTGGTAATAATGATGATGTTATCTCAAGATGGCCGGCTTTTAAAGTTGAGGATTTAGGACTAACCCGTGGGTATGCATCATGGGGCGGGGGACAGATAGGAAGTACCCCTACTGGTCCCTTTGATTCCTCGCTGAAGGAGATCTATAAAGGAATGGAGGGTGGACTACCTCTTGTAATATTTGACTCTGATATGGAGAACACAGTCGTGATATCACCACAGAATACATTCATGTCTTCACATCACGAGGTGTGGAAGCCAGACGGATATCAAGTCCCTGTATTTGCTACTGGTATATTAGGATCAGTTGATACTGTCCCTAAAGGATACGCAATGGAGACACTAATGGTTGCCGGTCAGAACCTCACCGACACTATGGACAAATGGGGTAGACTCTTACGTGGAAGATACAAGAAAGATGATATATATCGTCACAATGATTTTTCAATAAACTACCTTGGATATTACACTGATAATGGAGCCTGCTATTATTACTATACTGGGAAATACTCAAACTACGAAGAAGCAATGCTTGCTGTGAAGAAGGATGCTGATGACAATGGTCTTCCTTTTAGGTATCTTCAAATAGACTCATGGTGGTACTACAAAGGTGATCATGATGGTGTTAAGAACTGGACCTGCATGAGTTCTATTTTCCCTGATGGAATTGAGTATGTATCACAGAAAACCGGTTGGCCAATAGTCGCTCATAACAGGTTCTTCTCTGTGGATACTGATTATGCCAAGCAAAATGGAGGACCTTTTAACTTTATCATTGATTCAGGTAAAATAGCTCTACCTGATGATCCTACTTTCTGGCAGTATCTTCTCTCAACGTCAAGAGATCAGTGGAACCTTTGGACTTACGAACAAGACTGGCTTCTGACTGAATCAGGAGGACTTAAAGAGCTGCAGATTGATCTTAATCTGGGTCAAACATGGCTAGGACAGATGGGAGAAGCAGCTAAAGAAGAAGGACTCACCATACAGTATTGTATGGCTTGGCCTAGGCATGTAATGCAGGCAGTGATGATACCAGTAGTGACACAAACTAGAGCTAGTGATGATTATCATCCTGGTAACAGCCAATGGAAGATTGGAGACTCTAGCATACTCCTTCACTCTCTTGGTATTGCTCCATTCAAAGATAATTACCACACAACCTCTACTCAATCCGATTGCAAGTTCACTTCAGCAGAACCTAGTCCTAAACTACAGACCTACGTATCAGTGTTGAGTACCGGCCCAGTGGGTCCCAGTGATACTGTAGGAGGAGCAGACAAGCAGCTCATCCTTGCCACTTGTATGAGTGATGGTCTCATACTGAAGCCATCAAGACCTGCTATGTCTCTGGACTCTACATTCCTTCAGCGAGCACTTGGTAAGGGAGGGCCTGATGGATATCTCACTGCAACTTATACTGAAGTAAGTTTAATTATGTTGTGACTATTAATTTGAACTGCTTTTGATAAAAGTTGTAAGATACATTCATTTTATTGATGATAATTTTATAATCTCTACCTTTTTAGGTGTCAGGTTACACTTGGTATTACATACTGGGGGCTGAGCTTAAAAGTGACTATCAAATGTCTCTCACAGAATTACCAGCTGCTCGTGATGGTACCAAGCCTAAGACCTCCTTCCCAGAATCAGTAGCAGTTCAGTACGACCTTGACAAAACCGTTGCATCAAATTACGTGAAGATATCAGATTCAAGTGCAAAGCTGACGATAAAATCCTGTGAAGTATCAGATTTCCAACACTGGTACATAGCACCTGTACTACCAGGCAGTGGTGGATCATTGCTAGGAGAGCTGGATAAGGTTGTACCAATATCAGAGCAGAGGGTTCTCACTGTTATCCTGTTCGCTGGTACTTACGTTGTTAAAATGAGAGGAGCTCCTGGAGAAGTGGTATCAATGTCAACAATAGATACTAGTGATGGTAAAGTGACCAGTATTGATTGCACATTGGACTCTACTGGTGCTGGTACGCTAGGGTTCTCTGATGTTAAGAACCTCTCCTGCTAAAAATCAAGCTATTATTATTGCAGAATTGCTAGCTGATATAACTGCTTTTGCTATGCAGA